GCTTAGTCGCACGCCACCATCGAAAATGACTTTGCCCTCATTGGTCAGCACGAACATCCGGTTGCTCTTCGCAACGATGATGGATCTAACGTGCACCCCTGATTCACGCATCCACCGTAACACGTGTATTATTTGTATTCAAGAATCCTGGCTTGACCATAATGTCGAAGACTCAATGATTGGAATCAATAGTTTTAAATGCTTCCGTAAGGACAGGAAGCACTGTAAGAAGAAAACAGGAGGTGGAGTGATCACGTACATCAATTCAACCTGGAGCGGCAATTCTGAGCTTCTTTTTGATTATTCCGCCGATGGCATCGACTGCTTAGCTATTCAATGTTACCGTAGATTTTCGCGAAACAGAAGTACAATCATTACCAACTTATACATAACTTATACATTTTGTACTCAGTCATTTTATCCTTCTTCAATGCATTTACTCCGTCTTTCGTTCCCGTCATAGACGACAGTCTCCACATCCTTGTTGATGACTTTAATCGTACATTCACCTATCCCATGACTTCTTTTGGCTTAACTGATATTTGCTTGTCTCCCACAAGAGGTGATTCATTTTTAGACAAGGTAATTACGAATCACCCAGCACATTTTGCCCTAAGACTCACAGCACCTATTTTCAGTAGTGATTATGCCTTGATTTTTATAAGGCCCATAGCGTACTCCCGTCCCGTTCACAATACACTCACAAGAGCCAATCAAATCAACATTCGTCTTGGCAATCTATCCCAAAGAAACACCCTTCTTCTTAAGCGTTCCATCAGTGTCCTTTCTTCGTGGTTTTCTTCTTATCCCTCTTTGCGCAATGCAGTCAACTTATTCACTGAAACACTTAACCACACGTTTAAACTATGCTGCTCTTTTGAAACTCTTTTTGTTTGTAACGGCAGAATAGCATCTCCACTGCTGAAATCATTCAGAAGACAGAAGGAACGATCGTACAAATCTAGAGACTCAGCGGATGTCAAGTAATATACCAACTTGGTCAAAGCTGAGTTCTAACGCTTCTCAGTATCGTACGCCTCCCAGCTTCTGCTATGTAACAACAGTAAGCGAATTTACTAAGGTATCAAATTACTGTGTAGGATCAAATCCAAAACTCAAGATTGTACAACGGATTTAGACAGTGTTAATGCAGCATTTATCCACCCATCAAGCGATGCCATCACACCATTTGTTCCGGACGATGCCGTTCAGGTAGAGGCAGTCTCGAAAGAAGAAACTCTTGAGTTTTTGCGTATCGTGAAAACCACGTACAATGTTGGTCCAGATGGTCTTTCATCTTCCCTTCTGAGATATGGGGCCTATTCTCTCAGTGAAATATTCGCATTATTTTTGAACAATTTCTTAAAAACATGCTCTATACCAGACTGTTGGAAACCAGTAACAATTGTTTCCATAATCAAATCTCCTACTTCAAACGTTCTACCCAAACGCTTTCGTCCTATTGCTTTAACCTCTGTTGGACTTGAGTGCATTCAGTTATCCATTGATGTCCCATATGATGCTCTTCAGTTTGCTTATAAACCAAACAGAGGCACGCTGGATGCAGTTTTCTCCCTTTTACATAAAATTACCAAATTCTTGAATGACTCCGTGAAATCCGTCCGTTGTGTGTTTCTGGAC